TTTGACAATTTACTGACAAGGATTCATGGTTACAAATCATCTCCAAAGATACTGCCTAAATGTATGAAGTAGTCCCTTTGTAACTATTCAATCACATGACTCTCCCATGACTGTCCCATGACTCTGCATTAACTCTTGGTCACCAAATCTTGCCAGAGCACCCAATTAACAATATTTTTTGACAAAATAAAATTGATCCACAAATTAAGCATTCTTTAACAAGGACGAAAAGTGCTGTGCATTCTTCTGTATGTGTGTGTTTTTTTTTTTATCTACATGTCTATTTCTGTGTAAATATGACACGATAATGCCAGATACAGTAATATATCACCACATCATTTCCACTTAAACATTTTTTTTTCAATGTTCAAACTCCAATGCGATTAAATTGTATTTTGTTTTGAATTTCCTTGCATTTGTCATAGATGTTAAATATTGTGCGCTTTTGTTTATGCAAGACGTTAAGCGATTTTTTATACAGTATAAATATACTAATGTCTTCATCATTGTCACGACAGCCAATCACAAATGCGATCAACGAAGAGAAAGTTGTCATCTTATATGAAACTTGCTGTATTTCATGTAATTTGAATTTGTGTCTGTTCTTGCCTGTTCCTAATTAACATCATCCAATCAGTTTCAACATAATTGCACAAGCAAATGAAAGAAGCGATGAAAAACACATAATATAGCCAAAATGTCAGCCACTGTTGATACCCTTTGGACGACGTAAATGTGACGTCATCGAAAAGTATAAATGTCAAAAGTGTATCTCCTACATGAATAAACTAATGAGATGCAACATTAACTCGCACGTTTATGTGGTTTTATTTCATAATTCGCCAGCTATCCTCAAATTTCTATTTTTAAAATTGATCAAAATTTTCCAAGTTATTGGACAAAAAGTGTGATTTTAGATTTTGTTTCATAAATTCTCATGAAATGAAACTCATATATATGTATATAAAACAATATTCTTCCAATAAAATAATAAAAAAACATGTAAATATGTCCTATTTTCAATACATGTCATGTTATTATTAACATATTGATAGTTTTGTTATTACCTAATCATTCAATGTTGTATTTGAGTTATTGGCCATATCACAGTCTTAAATACAAAGTCATTGGAGATTCTCATGAATATAAAAAGAAAAAAAAATGCTTTGATATAATGAATAAGTTGGAATGAAATCTTCGAGTGAATTTTTGTAAGTCGGATATAATGGTAGAGGTATCTCTAGTGTTCTATGGTGATTTATAACAGCAGAAGTAGAATCAATACTTCAAATGAAAAACTATCAATTCTGCCTGTTAATACGTTCACGCTACGGAAGGAATGACATTAATACATTTTAAACAGCCTCAGAATGTTCTTACAGGGAAATAGCTACAATAGGTCGATCAAATAGAACTACTGATGTTGGATTTAAAACAGAATGACTTGATTGAAAGGATGATGGCTGTCAGTATGAAACACTGGAGTTGTAGTGCTATATATCCTGTTAGTGGTACATGTGATAGATCAGCTGGTGTAGTTATTTAATATCATAGTATTTCTGCAAATTACTATGTATTGAAGTGATTGGTTCCTTGAAGATGAAAATGAGAGAAACTGAACCCTTGAAATTAGTCCCCGTGCTTTATCAGGAAAGTGAAGCACATTAAATAAACACACAATAATATTTATGCATAAAAGAATTGTTTATACAAATATAACTGCTAATGCTGTAATGATATACAGGACAGGGATATTAGTCCATCAGTGAAGCAAGCAGGCCAGGTTTCTTAGTGCATTTCAGTCCATGTAGGTTAACTGACAAAGGGAGAATACTTGTGTTCCAGATATCCAAGTAAGGCTACTTGTGGTCCAAGTATGTTCAGATAATCAAGAGGAGTTACTACTCAAGGGAGACTACATTTTGACCAAGTAGGTTGAAATATCTAAGGATGGTTACTTTTGGTCCAAGTAGGTTAGGATAATCAAGAAAATCTACTATTCAAGGGAGGATACTTGTGGCCAAGCAGTTAAAGATATCCAAGGGAGACTACTTCTACTTTATTTAATCGTAACCATTACTAATTCAAGGATGGCCACGATCTTTTGATCAAAGGAAAACTTAGATAACCATGAGAGGCTCCCAAACAATTTAAAAGATGACTACTCTGAAGCTATTTCAATGATATGAAGAAAACCAAATTATCTGGTCCCTATAGTATAAAAACTCTAGCTTCACTGCTTCCTGCTAAACTATCAGCTAACATTGACTCACTCATCTCCTGTCTGCACCTGTAAGTGTTTATATAGAATGGAATATCCTGATTCAATATTTGTGTCTGTTTGTGAACATCTGTTCTTGCTTACACATGTAGAATGGTTTGGTTTTGACATACCAAGAGGTTTTACATGCAACACATCTGTCTGGTGTTAGATAGGGTACTGCCCTAAGGTTTGCTTCCTGTATATACGATATTGATAAAGGTTATAGGATCTAGACTTCACAGGAACAAATCTTACAGAAAATACACTACATAGTTTATTACATATTTTAACCACTATTATTATAGAACAACTTAAATCCTATCTAAATATACATTAGTCAATTATACATTTTCTCAAATACAAATATAAAACAGCTAAAATTTTAATTAAATACACATAGTTAATTACACATTTCTGCTAATATGGTTATAGAATGTCCCAGAACAAGTTGCTTTTTGCTGACATGTGTTGCCTATGATGAAGGAAATATGGTATATATCTATCTAATCTAGAGCCTAAAAATAAACAAGACAGTCTTTTCCTGTCTTATTTTCTCTTTGCCATTTCATTTGACTATTACCTTTCTCAAGTTTTCCATTTTAATATCACTATATTTGACCGTTACCATTGAAATGTTGCATTCATAGAGCTTTGGATGTAGTTGTTTTTGCATTATTATTGCTTTAATTGTCCCACATCCTACAATATTAAACCATTAAAACACATTCTAAAGTGTTAAACTGTTATAAGAACATTTCAGTTTCCTAGCCTGTAACATTGTAAAAAATGACTTTTGAATAATTGATAAAGATACAGATTATCACAAATGTTTGAGAGAATAATTATATTGATATAAAACATGGGCAAAAGGGTAGTGAGACAATACTTTGCTTCAAAATGCTATTCTTCCTTAATGCTTAATGGATTTCATTCAAGTTTTGTCTGAAACATCAGTATAGGTGGGCAATTAATTCTTAGATTAAGAAAGTTGATTTGACCCCTAGGGACTTAAGGGGTGGGGCCCCAAATGGGGAAGTTAGTCAATATTTTGCTTCAAAATGCTACTCTTCCTTAATGCTTGACTGGCCTAAATGTGTTCTGAAATATCATCTTGAGAATTCATCAGATTTGCGAGATGACCATCTGCAAATTTTGTCGTTTGTCCATACATTCATTGATTGTTAGATGACCGTTAATGACCATGAGCCTCATGTTAAGAATTCATAAGTTTAATTTAACTTGATCTGTAGACATCTTAGAAGACGAGATCTGGTTTAATCTTGGCTTGGTGGATAAAACATGCAATATATACTTTAAATTTCCTATTTTAGAGGATATTTGTCTTTCAGCCTTGGGGTTGAAGATTTATAAATAGCATATTTGTTGAACTTATCAACTTTAATACCAAAAAGACAAGGAGTGAACTAAGATGTTTGATTTCTTTATGTTAGTTCTTGTCATTGATCTGGATGTAAGTCTTTCATGGCTCTTTAGAGTGACACAAATGGCATTGAACAGCGGTCTCAATATCGAACAGATGAAAGAGCTTAGGAGTTGGTGAAGATCACAAAGGGACTAGTGTGAGAGGATGGCCCGTATATGTCCCCGTTTGGAGTATGACTCTTATCACCAGATCAGTTAATATCATAGCTATTGCAGACTTTCAACATTGACAATTGTTGTTCATTGTCCCACCATTAGAATCATGAAAACCTCACATCATGTGGCAAAATTCTACAAAAAATATTGGAACATGAAAAGGAGAGCATATAACAGAGTTGTTTCATCACAGCATGTCAGCTATGTATTATACCCAGAAATAATGTTTTCTTTGTTGTAAAAATCATTTGAATGCTTACTACTTCACATGTGCAAAAGAAGTCAGTAATTTGCCAATAGTGTTTGATCACAAAATATTTTGTTAGCCAAAAGATATATTGACTTTTCTCATCCACTCAAACCATTCTTTGTCTCGCTGATAATATTGATCCAGAGCTAATTGATTTGTGAAATTGACCTTGATTCTTCCCCATGATTCACCTAGCTTCCCCTTCAGATGCCATTTTGGTCTTTTGACCTGTACAGTTGATCATATGTGAAAAAATTCAGTTTATAACACTTATTTTGCTGCTCAGTGCCCTTTTAATTGATGTGTCTGTCTACCTCATTACCTTGTTTGCCCATCAGTAGCTTATTTGCTCCCCTCAAAGGCTTGTATGCCCCCAAGTGGCCAGCTTGCTTGTTAAAATACCTTGTTTTGCCCCTTAGTAGCTTGTTTGCTCCCCTCAATGGCTTGTATGCCCCCAAGTGGCCAGCTTGCTTGTTAAAATACCTTGTTTGCCCCTCAGTAGCTTGTTTGCTCCCCTCAATAGCTTGTATGCCCCCAAGTGGCCTGCTTGCTTGTTTAAATACTTTGTTTGCCCCTCACAGCATTTTTTTCCCTCTCTCAACAGCTTGTTTGCCCCTCTCAATATCTTGTTTTGTCCCCCTTTATATCTTGTTTGCCCATCTGAATATCTTATCTGCCTCCCTTACTAGCTTGTTTGCCCATCTGAATATCTTGTTTACCTCCCTTACTAGCTTGTTTGCCCATCTGTATATCTTGTTTGCCCCTCTCAATAGCATGTTTGTCGCTCTTAATAGCTTGATTATCCCCCACAATAGCTTGTTTGCCTCTGGTGAGTTTACCATTACATAAGACAAAATAAAATTTCTATCAAAAAGTTTTTTGTTTCAGCATGTCAGCTTTGCACCAGGCAGCCCTGGTTGGAAACCTGGACATGATGCAATTACTTCTGGAGAATGGGTCATCTGTCAGTATACAGGACAACAAAGGTAAGGCCTGGTCATCACAGTTGCTTGATAGTTAGAGTTTCAAGTAAAAACTTCCAAATCTTAAGGAAAATAGGTAAATAAATGTTAAAGAAAGGAAAAAATAGGAGATTTTCACCACATTTGATCAGTGATAAATATATACTTGACAGTCCCATTATTATTTAACACCTACTGCAGTTTCATTTCTTTGAATGAGATATCTTGAGGTCTTTTCTTGGTGTCTTGTTTCTGTTATGTTTTTTGCACCCAAGACAAATAACCCTCATTTCCTGTAGGCTGTCGTCTTCACCCTGAAAACAAAGCAGAGCTGAACTAGTAGTCCTGGCCTTGTCATCCATTGTTATATATCGCTATGTGAATCATCTGATAGAATGTGCATGGCCTATCTGTCCATCAGTCCAAGACGTGCTGTTGTAAGGAGAGGTCAAAGAGGTGGAAGTTGTGATTGACAGCTATTCACACATACGTATTTTGTGAACAATAAGTTAATGATAGATATGTATATGTGTAATAGTTCTCCTCACATTCCACCTTCAGAATCCTCCTCATATCTCTCTACCTGTATAAGTTCAGATTTAAAGCAGCATTTTACTGTTCAGATACAGACTTATATGCATATATTGCTTGTAAATTGTAGATAAAATATTTTGGTAAAATTTGAATTTTAAAGAAAATAAAATCAGTTTTTCTGCTTCTGATACAATCCGAATGTTAAGAAAGAGAAAAATCTGTTTGTTGAATATAAGTGATGATGGTATATCTTGGTCAGGGATTATATCAGTGGTCAATATGTAAGAGATCAAGGTCATTATTACAAGGTGTAGACTTACTTTTCTTGATTGCAGTAAATGCCTAATACTTGATTAAAATGACAAAAATATTAGGTAATAATTTCTGTTATGTAAGGTGAAATAGGTCATTGCATGGTACTTTGAATTTTCTGCTAATCACCTGCCTCAAATTTGATCAAAGAGATGTTTCATAATTTTAATTTTCATGTTTTGCTGTGTCACTGCTAAATGTTATCATGTGAACGTGTGGAATGTTTGGTATATGATTAAGTGCTTGTTATCTGCCTTCCATATAATTTCATTATCTCCGGAATTGATACCTGATATATATATAGTATCTATACTGTGATGTATCAATTTCATGTAAAATCATGAGATTATTTCACTGCTAATTCAAGCTTTATGTAAATAAATGATAAATACCAACGAAAATGTATAGTCTTGAAAATGGTAGACTTAATGATGCCTGTGGTTTTGTTGTCAACCTTGTTCCCATTTAAAAATGTAACATTACTTAATTACAAAAGATTAAAGTTTGCATTGTGGGTGTCCTTGATGAATTTACCCTTCCAGAACATATGGTCATTTTCACCTGTATACCTTTCTTTTGGTCATATCCTGACCATTGATTTTGAGTTTGGATTAAGATTTTGATGATGTGGTAGTATTTTCTTGTTGCATGGAGATAAAATGTTTGTTACTGCCCACAGGAATGTTGGCTCTTCACTATGCTGCATGGCAGGGAAAGTCAGAACCAGTTCACATGCTATTACAGTGGCAGTCCCCCACCAATGAACAAGCGAAAGAAGGCGAGGCACCACTTCACCTCGCCTGTCAACATGGTCACTTCGATGTGGTGAGTCTACTTCTCTTGGCTTCCTCAAAGACACTGAATTGTGGTAAAGGTGTCTCATATTAAATGTTTTCTTCATGTAGTAACTCGACATCCTACTGACAATATGCTCTATAGCATACTGATGTTCCTACAAAAATGATATACATCAATTTCTGGCTGACAAAATACAGTTAAATACTGATAGTAACTGATTTTCCACTGACATTATGGTGCTTTTATACTGAAAAAAACTTATTTCCACTCATGAAAAAATCTTTTACTGATTTTTAACAATCCATTGATTTATATAGGATCTGCAGATTAAGCACAAAAATGCTCACATGAAAATGTTTTACATATAGATACAGGATCTTAAATGAGCGATCTTTTCATATGAGATTTTATGAAATGAAAAGTAAAATTTACTATGTAACAGGCCATTTATGTTATGAATAACGATATATTGAATATATGCATTAACAGGTACCAGCATATATCTTTTAATTCAGTTCCTATCATTTGATACCATACCAGTTATATCATCTGTCTAGTGGTAATACAATAGTTGACTGAAACACTACTTCCCAGCAGCTGAAGCAGGATTGCAAAACATTTGTTGCTCTGTCAAATAGCAAAGTCTGTGGCTGTATTCTGGAGATTCCATAGAAGAGACACATTGCATGCCAAGCAGAGCTTACGTTTGATCAATAATATAGAAGGTTGGAGATTGTCTACAAAAGTGCTAAGGTGTTCAGTGATAGCCATTGGGCCATTTCACATTCATCAGCAATTGGTAAACCAACATCCTGAGATTAAAAGGACCTTTATTACAACCCCCACATAAGTGATACAGCCAATTGCAAACCAACTTGAGATTAAATAGATCTATGTTACAGCTCCACATGAGGGATACAGGTGCTTTTTTTAATAAACACTGTCCATCAGTCCCTTCAACGGTCTGTCCAATAACTTCTTTCCAGCGGTAAATCCTGTATATTTCACATGGTGATATACTTTGATATGGATATACACATTATTATGTAATATGCTACTGTAGCACAGTGTTCATTGTCATGTTAATATAGATAACAGATGGATTTGTTATAAATGAGGGAACTAATAATGAGTCAATGACATAAATTTACAGATACACAGCAGAGCCTTTGCTAGCCTAAGGATGCAGTATATTATAATACTTTATAATGATATTTCAAACTTCCCATCAAAATTAGGTGACATGGGCATTGTGTTAAAATTTCAATAGATTAAACAGATTTTGTATCATTCAGAAAGGGGGGTTGCCAATTGGCAATTGGCAATTGTTTAATTTGATAAAAAAAGAAATATATAAATGGAATATAAGTCACCTAATTTTTTTTATCTAAACATACCTGCTTGAATATCAATTCCGCACTTATACACATGATCATCAAACACATTCCAAACTTTTAGATAGCTCAATTCTAAATAAGTTTCCGAACTTTACTGGAATAATGTTCATATTAAAGTTACTTAACTGGAGCTCATCATAGTGCTATAGACATTGTTTTCAGAATCTTTGAGGAATCAGTATGCTGGTTTACAGTTAACAAATTTTATACACAAGGTATTGAAGGCTGTGTGAGTTGATATATGTATTAGAAATCACTTTCAGCTGAAGACACAGATGTAAGAGTTATTTCCCCTTGGGACTGAAACTTTTCAAACCCAATGATGAGATGAATCTACAGTTCAACATATCAAAGATGTTGATACAAACCTTGTCCCTGTAATGTTGTCTATAATGGTGTGTTTGAGTTGTTTTCCTTTTTGTCTCTCTCTTACTCCAAATCGGAAAGTAAAAATATTTATATACAACATTGTTACAGTAGATGATTGTCAATTGTAATTGTAATCAACACGACACTTTATGTAAAGTCAGGTTGAAATAAACTATCAGATATCCGTAGGGAAGAAGGCTTTGTAAGTTTTCATAGAAAATTTTTAGTAGATTTCTGCGGTAAACTTTTTCTGTAGGTGGTTAATTTTGCAACATATCATTTCCACATCAAAGCTTGTATGCAAAGAGTGCAGGAACAGCGTTACCCACTGTAAATGTCTCACCTGAATCCACATTCTTATCTAGTCTTATCTTAATTGACCTGTTCGAAAATGAAAGAAGAGCACAAATGAAATAATTTGTGTGTGGTTTCATTTCCAGTCTGTGATTAAAGTGGACTAGTTACATTGTACCTAAAATATTTTTTTCCCATTAATTCTCAAGGGACCAAAGAAATGAGTTTCATGGTAAAATGAATTATGTAATCACTAGAGTGTAATATTGCGGAGACCATTCCTAGCTTGGGGACATCAGTATAACTTATTTACAGACAATAATTTGTGTGACTACAGATGTTCAATATATATGGCAGTGACACCTAAGATTGATGTTACATGTTCCTGCTCATTTTCTATTTATTACATTTTATAGACAGCATACTGCAGCAGATGTGTGGTATATGAAAAATGACACCACTAAATTAATATTTAATAATTGGCAGATATTAAAGTTATCATGATTTTCTTAATTTTTTCCCCAAAGACACTTGCAGATATTTTTGCACCTTGCAATCAGTTCATTAGGTTCAAGAACTTGAGCTAATGCTGAAATTAATTGACTTTATAAAAAATTGGAATTACTAAATATTGGATAATAGTCAAGAGATTTTAGATTTTTTTTCACTTCAAATTGATCAGCATGGCAAATCTTGTGAAAAACAAATAATAGATACACAGCACAATGTCATTTGTGCAAAAAGCTGAGGATTTCTAATGGTATCCTGCTGCCATTTGACAAGTATAGGTGATACTTTCATGGATGTGCCAGCATAAGTGAAAATCTAAAAGTGTTTTCTCTCACAAGTGATGTACAAATGCATTTTAAAGGGAAACTGTGAATGTGAAAGTGAATGTTCTATTTATCATGTTATTTCATGTTATGGTACAGAATCTTAATTCACATCCTCCTAATACATATTTCAGATTTTCTTTGTGGTTGTAATATATTCTGCCATTTCATTGGTTTAGCTCTAGGAATGTAATTTTTTGCTGGTAATGACTTTTGTTTTGATTTTTTTTAAACTGTTGTGAAAAAAATGAAAAGTTCCAAATATTTCAATGATAGAAATTAAGAAAACAAATTAGAATAATACCAATTATGTCAATTGTCAATATCTGATAATTTTCACAGCTCGATTTTACAGTAGAGGTGTTGACTAGTCAGTCTAAGTTGTAATCGTAAAATATCAGCAAATAGTTTTATGTTGTAGATATCAATGTTACAGCCAGAGTTCTACCTAATACACAGATAGATGGATGTCAATTACTTAATGATTTATACAAGTTACTCAACCATAACTGACAGGAACCCTGTGTTTATCGAACCCTAACTGACAGATCCATAGATAGATATATACATAAATAGGTGTAAAGTTCACGACAAACATATATCGTAATTGTGTGTAAACTTCTTTGAAGTGGTTCCCATGTGATTTTGTGTTCATATGGTAATAGAGAAAGTGATTAGAGATAGTAGGTGTGATATGTGTTTTGAACATTGATGTGCCTGGTATATCATTAGTGATGTATATAGTTTAGGATGTAATTGACATTATCTTATATTGATCTACTTAGTTTACCTATCCAACAAATTACTGTCATATGGTAATAAATTTTGTATCACTGATACACACAGCCAAGAGAATCCTGTATGTATCCTTGAATACACTGTAACTCTCCTTACCTCTTGTGATGTTTAAGGACCTGCCTGTGTACATAGGTTGATTCTCTAGACTTTCCATCCTACAGATGTCAGTACAATTCATGTTGGTTTAAAGACAGTCAGGGTAGCTGACCTTTGATGCTTTACTAAAAGAATGATGCGTGTAACTGTCAGCCATCTCTATGTGGTATTTTCTCCCATATTTTGTCTTAATTTGGGAAATATTATACTTTGCACAATGCTTACGTTAGACAAAAGCTGTTAATAAGCAATTTGTACTTCTATTTGTTATAGAAAACGTTATTATCACCTCAGGACTAAACGTAGATGTGGATGGTTAGGTTGTGCAGTGGTAATGCACTCACTTTCATGGATGTTTGGGGGGACGGGGGTTGCGGTCACCTGCCCAAAATCATGGGTTTTCACAGGTACTCCTGTTTCTTCTTACAATAAGACCCACTACATGCTTACATCCAGGCAAAGAAAATTGATTAATTTAAGTTGAAATGTCTTGTTTAAAAATTGTTGTAAAAGAAATGAAGTTTATATTTAAAAGTACAAGTCAAAGGGGAAGGAGGGGTTATAAGGATGTTACCATTAAGTCAATGTATGTACCTAAAGTCAAATTCGTCGATTACAGCTCTTACAGCTTCATTCCTTGACAGAGTTTTGTTAAAACTGTACACACTTGTGAAGGACCATAATATCTGTCACAAGTCCAGGGTTGTGTATGATTTAAGGTCAAAGTCACTGTTACTTTTTGTAGAAAATCCTTATCAGTGCTTTAGAGCCTTGATTTCTTGATTAAGTTATCAAACTTTAGAAATATTTTAGCTTTGAAAAAAAAAAGATCAAAGAATTATGGGTGCTAAGATCCCTCAAGAGATCTCTTGTTATGTGTGATTGGCTTCCATCTGATGCTATCATATTTTGCACCACTGATTAATTATTGATTTAGCTTCCTCTCTGATGCAGATGTCCATTTAACCTTTTGGTGGATTACGTTTTTTTCCTTTGGGAACTAGTGCACATTTTAACTCCTTTGCCCATACTTAAATGACTATGATTGATACATATAATCAGTTAAAAACCTGTATTTATAAAACCTTAACATTGATGGTTTGATTGTGCGAGATTAATTAGACCTTGTTTGGTCATTGAAATGAATACGCTATTCAGATATGAAATCAAAATAGGATGTTGTCGTGTAACAATTGCATTGATATGCTCATCAATACTTTTTACTCATACATTGATGTACTTGAAACGGTCCAGTATGGTGACTAATTTCACGTCTGATTTATGGCAATGTCCAGCTTGAATCGGTGATGTGTGAATAACAATAATCCACAGTCAGCATTTCTTTCTGTCAGTGTTGTGACTTTCCACATGACTGACTTCACACTGCGACGACCCTGATGCTCCAATTGTCAGATAATGCACACCTGAATTGGCTTGGGATTAATTCTGACAGCAAGGTCAGAGTATTACACATACAATTTTGATATGATTGACAGTTACTTCAATTGTGCATTAAATTATTTCAGAAGTCCTTGTGTGTGGTGGTAATTCTAGTACAAGGGTGTGATCAAGACAGCACTAAGGAATGTTCTTGTATGTTTTGTAAGCCAGAAGATAGATAAAGGGAAGTAACTCTTTAATTACCAATAAAGAAATGGGTATTAATGATAGAAACCAGGTTTAAAAACCTTATTGCTTTTTTGTGATGGCTTGCGTCTGATCCGTGTTACCTGTTGGCAGTTTGTATGTAACGTAAGTTGGCGTTAGTTTGGCTGTGCCTTGATGTACTGGGTGTTACCAAAATGTGGTTCGTTTGTAGAAAACATTAACAATGGGGGTAAGTTGGTTGATGTTGCCAGACATCGGAAGGAAATTCCATGCGTAAACTTATAATGGGTGCTGTAATTCTGTACACATGTGTATAGGTACAGATCTGTTTGTTTATATATACAGGTGGGACGGTATTAGTTATGCTTTCCAGGACTGGCTACAATCATTGTACTAGGGCTGTTAGAGTCATTTGGTACACATATATAGGTTAAAGGCCACACGGCATTGTCTCCGGTCAAAGGTCATAATCAAAAGTGTCTCAGTCAGTGGTCACACTAAGCATTGTCTCCAGTCAAATGCCACAATCAGTATTGTCTCCAGTCAAATGCCACAATCAATATTGTCTCAGATAAGTCTCAATCAGGATTGTCTTAGGTCAAAGGACACAGGATGATCTCTGATCAATTTTAAAGGTTACATACAATCTGGATCATCTGTGGTCAAAGGTCACAATCACGGTTGTCTCTGATCATCTGTTACTAATAACAACGTCAAAGGTCACAATCATAAATATTTTCGTAGTGGTGTATAACATTCAGTTTGTCACTACAAGGTTAAAGTTCTAAATCCTTTTGTCATAGGTCATAATTAAGCTGACATGTTTGAGTTGAAAGGCCAAAATAGTGGTCCTTATTGTTCATGTCATCAACTACACTTAAACAATAGGTCAGAAGTCAATATTGGAGTTGTAACATGTTTAAAGCTATAATATACAGTTTAAAGTTCAAATTGTGATCAGATGGGTATTATGTATTATATGATAAGAATCATTTACAACCGCTGAACATCAAACTAAAATCATATATGGCCAAGGTCACATTCTCATTTCAGTTGTCTTGATTATAAGTCAAGAATAGACTGACAAATAAAAATACAAATATCCAACAATGACCCCAGCTGATTCTGTCATATTATGTCTAGTTCCTGACTGTTTATCCCCAAGACTGCCTGCATAATAAATTGATATTATACTTATGATGTGTCATATTTGTTTAAAAAAAACTGTAAAGAATCCAGTAGATGAGGTGGAAAAAGGTAGGGGGAGGGGTGTGTGTCATGACTTCAAAATTATCCTTATAGACTTTCCTTCATGTTGACGTTCAAGATGATAAAAACAATTTTCATTACGATTTTTAAACAACTCCAGGCTACAAATTGACAAGAGATTAAGATATTCTATGTGACATTTACAAATAGACAGATTACTTTAAGCTGACAGGCTGCATCATAGGGAAGTCAACACTTTCAAAAGTACTGCTAGTTTATGGTGAGATGAAGATTTAATGCTCTGGAGCTTAATAATCAGTGGCTGCACTAGGAGTACCTGCAGGTGAAGTGTTATTGATCTTATAATGGTAGAAATATTGTAGATGGTTATGTATCAGCTTTTACAAAGCAGCATTAGGTGATGTTGAAGAACTCAGTTGATCTGTGTTGAAGCATTATATAAATTACTTAATTTCATTGTCAAGCCACAAATCTGGCAACTGAAAGCATTGATCAAATTTGGAGATATTTTTTGCATGGAATTGATTTGGTTAAACTCAAAGAGATTACCATGTAGAATATAATTACATCATCATGTTCTCCTTATGGCACACAATTGATCAGGACAACAACAGAATAATTTGGTAACTAACAAATAAGATTTTCTTGTTACTATCCTTGACAGCCATAATTTTATGTACCCACACTTGACTGTCACTATTGAGGTTCCCTCCCTTGACTGTCATCATTTGAGATTTCCTCCTTTGACTGTCATCATTTGAGGTTTCCTGCCTTGACTGTCATCATTTGATATTTCCTCCCTTGACTGTCATCATTACAGGCTCCCTGCCACGACAACCATCATTTGAGGTTCCCTCCCTTGACTGTCATCATTACAGGCTCCCTGCCACAACAACCATCATTGGATGTTCCCTCCTTTGACAACCATTATTTGGAGTTCTTTTCACACACACCCATTATACAAAGAAAACTAAACTTGGGATATACTCTTGTATCCTCATTTCTTAAGGGATTTCAATCAAACTATATACATATATTATATATGAGGATGTTTAGTCCAGTGTTTGGTTCCCACAACTTTGTGTTCAGGCTTCCAAGATCAAGGCCGTTATTTATAGGAAACTAATTCAGTGACATCCTCTTGTGGACTAATTCTTATATCTTTTCGCCACACTAAATGTAAACATTATAAATTGATCTTTCATGAGAGTGCCCAGATTGTGGCTCCAAGGTTAAGACCACCATATCTATCGTTAAAAATAATCAAGAAATTCAGTAGCATATCACATTAGTGACTTCACATCTTAAACCTTTGATATTAAAAAGTAGCATTGTTTTTCTGAAGTAAATCATGTTAACGATGACTAGGGGTTAAAGGTCAAGTTCATGTTGGACAACATTGTTTTGCCCGGGGTTGAAGAAGTCTCAATCCTGGTGTAGTGTAGAGTCTTGGGTTAAGTTTATTTTTCAAATCCTCTTTGATTAATCAAGATAATTATAAATCAGAGTACAGCATCATTGATTATCAGATATTTAAGTTGACTTCTGGATTATGATTTCTATGAATTGTAAGTTTGTTGGATGAGTCACATTTCCCTGATTTGAGTTTTTGCTTGTTACGGTGTGAACTGTAAAATAAAATTTACATATAGTCATTACACCATTATCAATATGCTGTTCAGTCTAATAGCAGACACATGAATTCCACTCCACCATAGTTGTGAAGTATATTTTAGAATATTCTCCCTACAATCTAATTTTGGTATTCTATAAGAGTTATTATCACACAATGTGTTATTGAAAGAAAAAACTGGAAGACAATAAGCATTTAAAGAAAAGTCTTAATTAGAACTTGTCACCATAATTGCTGCTAATATTTCCTATATGGTAATGATCACTGTACTGAGTAATCAATTCTTTTCACCTCCAACCCAATTATACTGACTACATCTTTACTGACTCCGTATAATTTTGATGTAACCCTGTGAAAATTGGATCGACCTTTTGTAAGCATGATCATAATATCTTTTGCCAGCAAAATATTCCTTAGTGATATCCATATTTGGTCATGTAAAATTTAACTCCTACCAGATGAAGGACAAGGATGGTGATAATTCAATGATAATTAGATGGAAGTAAATACTTAAATTACTGATGTATAATATGTCTTTGTTACAATTCCAGGTAAATCTGCTACTTCTGCACCATGCTAATCCTACCATTGTAAATAAGGAATGGAAGACTCCCCTTGACCTGGCCTGTGAATTTGGAAGATACCGGGTTGTTGATTTACTTCTCAGGAGCAATCTATGTGCTGGCCTTCTGGCTGAGTCACCTAACGACATGATTGACAACAATCGTACAACTTGTATCCATCTGGCTGCTAAAAATGGCCATATTGAAATCATCAGGTAAATATTTGGATATCCATACTGATGTATTCAGATGAATGAAAAAAATTGCAGCCATGACATTTGTGAGATGACTACTGCAGAATATAGCCATGTCAGTAAAGTTTCCTGATATTGATCATCAAGGCCCAGGGTTGTTTCATTAATTAATTAAAAATTTAATTCTTTTACTATTGTACAATCAATTTCCATCAAGGACGAACCATAACCATAACTGTTTTAATTCTGTATTTAAAAAGAAATAAAGAAGTTTTAAATGACTTCTCATCAACAACATCACTGCTACTTGCAGTCGTTAGCGCTCACTCAGTGTGTCATTGTTGGTCAATAAGCTGTTTGTTTCTGAGGGATCTCTTAATTTATTATCAAAGAACACATGATGAGAAATACAAAATGCAATCTAAATGGCTCTTCCATTTACAGAATTACATTGTCAGAAATGAATAACTCATTTTTGTTTGGATTGTGTTACCATCTACACAATTCAACACAATGTGTAGGAAATGTAATCACAATCATTGAACTGTTGTGTTTATAGCATGTACAATTAGAATTTGTGCAAATGGGGACGTTTTCCAATAAAATTTTGCCATTTACAGTTGATATAAATGCCAGAACAAGACAGGTCAAGGCTTAAATGAAATAAACAATTCAGTGCTTAAATGAGATAAAAAAAAGATTTAACAAGACTTATATTTTACTTTGACATAGTGATTAAGACAAAGTATGGTAAGAGATCTCCAGCTCTTTTCCCCCCATAGTCATCTGAAAATGTAAGAGTTGTCTCCCCTGTGACATGTACTGTCAGATAGATGTGATGTGATCTAGAACATTTTTGAGAGTTCAAGATGAACTGAGAACAAATAAACTTGGATTTTTTTCTTTGGATAAATTGATTTTCTGTAGTAGCTGATTAATATTAGATATATATTATAAAAAATTGTGATCAGTACATTGTTCTAGTGCTGTTACAATGGACACCTGTGCTTATATATGCTTAACTAGGTATTTGATATGAATCTTAGTGAACAGTTGTATTGTAATGTGTTAATTTGTGTTACTGTTTAGTATTTACCTGTCCTAATCTGATTACAGGTAGGTGTACAGGGTCAATCAATTAAGTTGTAGCACCTGTTCATGAGATGCTTATCAGTTGGCAGGTGTGTAGAGGTTTATGTTGGCTTGTGTATTCAGCTAAAGTACCCTTATATAAGGACTGTTATGTACAGATTCCAATAGCAATTTGTAATCCTGTTTGCAATGTAAATATTTTTAACAATTGGTGATTTTAGATTAGATGATTAATAAATTGATGGCTAATTATAATTGATAAATATTAAGTGATTAATTGGTGTGTATTAATGGTCCTCAGTTTTTACTGTGACTATATATCTGTTATGTATACCTACAGTACAACAGTACATCAGACTATCTGTATCAATGTTTATATGATCATCAGATACCCAGGGTTATACAACTGAAAAACCCCAAAAGCCTCATCATCTGTTTGTTTATTATTGGTCTATTCCTTAACAACTCTCATGATCACGCTTTTTCAGAAGTGCAGAGTGGATACTTCTCAGTGCCTTTGTTAAGTCTGTTTGATTTTAGGCTTCAGTCTACAATTTTGACATTTAAGAATTTGAATGCAATTTGTCAGAAAATACTGTAAAGATCTTTCTCAAATTTTCTCTTTAGTCCCTTGTTAAACCTGTTTGATTTGGAGGATTTCACCCTATTTTTGACATTTAAGAATTTGAATGCTATTTGTGAGAAAATAGTGGAGGGATTTTTCTCAAATTTCATATATTAGTCCTTTTGGTTAAATTATGTTATATCATTAATCACTCACTTGTCAGTGCTACAAATTATTACACATTACGAAGAAAGATGAAAAAAGATAAATATTCTGTGGACCCAATATAGATCCTATAAAGTATGTACAGCTAATTGATAGATAAGATGCAAGAATCACACCTGTTACCCACATGGTTTGATCATAACAGGTTACTAAACCTTGTTTTCTACTTTTCATTTTAACCATTTCTTATTTGCTACTTTTAGGTAAAAGTTCACTTTTTGCCGTATTGTTTAGTATCTATCTACCGTATAGGTGATTATCTTCACAGGGTTGATATTTGCACTATTTCACAGTACATTAATGTAGTAACATGAAATAAAATAACGTAAGATATATAAAATATCTGTGAAACAATGAGACATGTGTATTAAGATATCATTTTACATCCCGATCACAGAACTTTGATTCATTGAAATAATTGTTTTAAAAGAAAATCATGAGAATTTTGACATGAGAAGATTGCCAGCTATATGGTAAGTGAGGTGGGTCACTCTTTCTGTTCCCAGACTGAGACATACAGATATCTTTAGCATTGGCAATTTCTGCTCTTTACTTAGCATAAAGTATAAATAAGTTAGTGGTGTTGGTTGCCATAATAATGTGACCTGGTGGGATGTTACTCTACCATGTTCAAGTGGTGTCGGTTGTCATAATAATGTGACCTGTTGGGATGTTACTCTACCATGTTCAAGTTATGACATTTCAGTGTGGTGGCACTATAAAAGTATCATCACTGGCACTCTCTCCTGTTGACACACTCTTCAAGCATTTAAAACACTTACAGATAACAAGCGTGTCTAATGTGCTGATATATAAACATTACAAAAAGCAGTTATTAAGGAGAATATTTGTAAAAAATTATGTTAACCATCAAGCGATCTTGGTGATTTTGACTTATACTTGTTCAATGGTTTGTAGGTTACTGCTACAGGCAGGTGTAAATATCAACAGATCCACACTGCGGGGGACATGTCTACATGAGGCAGCACTGTGTGGGAAAACAGATGTCGTCAAACTACTCCTGGATGTAAGTCTATCAAAGTCCACTTTATACTATAATATACGCCAAACATTTATCCAAACTGCAGATTGTAACCATGCATATCCTAAGGTTTTCTACAATTTCAACTAATTTGATACTTATTCCTTGTACAAAAATACATGTATTGGAAAAGTCAAATGTTGATCTGAGATTTGTATAGACATTTTATTTAAGCTCCTTAGATTGTAAATCAGTGGGACCAACAATAGACCTCTTTTGACATAAAGAAAACATGTCACTTTAGTACCCGGGCATATTAGTGGTATAATATCAGTATTCATAATTGATTAGAAGAATTCCTAACATCTTAACAAAGCTAACTGAAAAAGTTCTTTATGACTGATAGTGCCATTTTTCACAATAGAAAAAATAGCTGTGACAATTTTCATCATTTATGTGTGTATCCAAGAATGATTTTTTTAAATTTTTTTTTTTAAGTTTTGTCAGTTTTGAGTTGAGCAATGATCTTTCCAAAAGTAACAGGAAATGAAAAGCACTGGTCTTTTTTTAGTTCAATTGAAGGATGATATAGATAATAGACCTATTCAGCTACACAACAGAGTTAAATCAGTAACAAGTATTTAAGAGCTGAAAACTGCCACAAGAGTTTGTCACATAGTTTGTCACATCATTGATCATTGGTGAGAAATTTTATAACATGTATCAAATATTCAATGCTTGTGTTTTCTACTATTCCTAGATATTGTTATATTTGTAAAAAATAAAAAAACCCACATATAACAAGACAACAGCAGTACTGACATCCTACACAAAACTATCTGTCATTGAAAATGATCCCCTGTATTTATGAGGGTCATTGTCATTGTAATTTTTATCAGCTATCAAATACATGTACTAAGTACATACAGGGTTATGATGTCCTGTTGGTATAGAAAGGACATATTGTCCCATGGCTTGTCCTTGTATAACCTTCAAACACATTTCTGTGTTAGTGATAATCTTATAATTAAGATGATAGTGAGGTTTGTTTGGCTAATACTATGTAGGATTTGAAGTGTGATGGTTCAGGTTGATATGTGTTGGAGGTTGGCAGCAATGTATGTAAAGGAAGAGGAAGAAGGGTGAATGGGGGGGGGGGGGGGGAGTAGTAGATAGAGTACTGGTATGTAACACAGGTTATCACTGACATCCATACTATGTACAATCATCCCCTTCTCCAACTACCGTAACTGTTTCCTCAGTCACTTGGCCAGCACTACCGCTCCTGCTGAAATTAAATGTAAAATTGTTTATTATTACAATTGAATTTTCTCTCTTTAATCTAATTTAGTAATAAAACTGCTTTAACTGTTTAGTATCACATTTCAAATTTAATAGTTATGAAATTGGTTGGAATTTTGAACATTTGTACCAAGTTTGTATATCATTGTCTGCCTACAAAATCAGTGGAAGGATATCTAGTACATGTAAAAGGGAAAATATTTTCTTCAGATCATAATACAGTCTCATATTTATACTAACTATAATAATTTGTATCACATGAGTGGCACATGTAATTCCTTGTTATTCAAACACTTACTTCTTTATGTCAGTAATGATTTTTGGTCGGGTGGGGCAGTGGTTACGCACTTCCCATTCATCTAGCCATTGGGGTATCATTCCTGGAACAGATGTGAAAAGTTAGGGGGTTACATGTCAGATGACAAGGGCTGTCTTCAGGTACTCTGCTTTTTCTCCCACCCTAAGACTCCTTCTGCACTTACATCTTGGTCAACAAGAGTGATAAGTAATTTGTTTCACAATTGTTGTAAACTAAATAAAGTTTATATTATATTAATGTTGTATGAATAGAAAGGTGTTTCTCAGTGTTGTAGAGAAAGAAAGGTGTTTCTCAGTGTTGTAGAGATAGAATGGTGTTTCTCAGTGTTGTAGAGAAAGAAAAGTGTTTCTCAGTGTTGTAGAGAAAGAAAAGTGTTTCTCAGTGCTGTAGAGAAAGAAAGGTGTTTCTCTGTGTTGTAGAGAAAGAAAGGTGTTTCTCAGTGTTGTAGAGAAAGAAAAGTGTTTCTCAGTGTTGTAGAGAAAGAAAGGTGTTTCTCTGTGTTGTAGAGAAAGAAAAGTGTTTCTCTGTGTTGTAGAGAAAGAAAGGTGTTTCTCTGTGTTGTAGAGAAAGAAAGGTGTTTCTCAGTGTTGTAGAGATAGAATGGTGTTTCTCAGTGTTGTAGAGATAGAATGGTGGTTCTCAGTGTTGTAGAGATAGAATGGTGTTTCTCAGTGTTGTAGAGATAGAATGGTGGTTCTCAGTGTTGTAGAGATAGAATGGTGTTTCTCAGTGTTGTAGAGATAGAATGGTGGTTCTCAGTGTTGTAGAGATAGAATGGTGTTTCTAAGTGTTGTAGAGAGAGAATGGTGGTTCTCAGTGTTGTAGAGATAGAATGGTGTTTCTCAGTGTTATAGAGATAGAATGGTGTTTTTCAGTGTTTTAGATATATAATGGTGTTTCTCAGTGAAACAAGATACGTTTTCTATTTAACTATTAAATTCTGATAAAAACAGAAGAATTTCTTAACTCAACATTTCCTCACCCTTGACCTAAAGGAAATGGTCCATGAATCCCTGATTGACATCAGGCTCAGATAATGGAATATGTTTTTCATTGCCTGACAGACCTACTAAATGATTGACCTTATACAGTATAACCTGTAGCCTCCTTGCCTTGTTTATGTTACCCAAACATCCATTTCTCTCTTTTTCATCATCCAGCTCCTTATGTTTCCCATACACCATATGTCTCCATGTTTCCTTCACAATATCCATCTCCTTATTTCCTTCCTACCATTCACTCCATTTTATAGCCCTTCAAGCAACTTTTTAATCTCAGTTGTTGTCCACTATGTGAATCTCATGTTGAAATCCTATACTTCATCTCCTATGTTGACCTCACACACCTTCAATTCACCTTCGTTCTTACCCTTTTCTCTTTCTGACTCCTGAGTTGTCTTCTTACCCTCTTACTGTTTTGCCCTCATGCTTTTACTTCTGTTGTTTTTTCTTCCTGCCTTCACTTCCAGTGTGTTGTCCTCCTGCCTTAACTTCTCCTGTTGTGTTGTCCTTCTGCCTTAACTTCTCCTGTTGTGTTGTCCTTCTGCCTTAACTTCTCCTGTTGTGTTGTCCTCCTGCCTTTACTTCTCCTGTTGTGTTGTCCCCCTGCTTTTACTTCTGTTGTGTTGTTCCCCTGCCTGTACTTCCCCTGTTGTGTTGTCCTCCTGCCTTAACTTCTCCTGTTGTGTTGTCCTCCTGCCTGTACTTCCCCTGTTGTGTTGTCCCATTGCCTTTACTTCCCCTGTTGTGTCGTCCTCCTGCCTTTACTTCTCCTGTTGTGTTGTCCCGCTGCCTTTACTTCTGTTGTGTTGTCCTCCTGCCAGTACTTCCCCTGTTGTGTTGTCCTCCTGCCTGTACTTCCTCTGTTGTGTTGTCCCCCTGCCTGTACTTCCTCTGTTGTGTTGTCCCCCTGCCTGTACTTCCTCTGTTGCATTGTCCCCCTGCCTGTACTTCCTCTGTTGTGTTGTCCCCCTGCCTGTACTTCCTCTGTTGTGTTGTCCCCCTGCCTGTACTTCTGTTGTGTTGTCCTCCTGCCTGTACTTCTCCTGTTGTGTTGTCCTCCTGCCTTTACTTCTCCTGTTGTGTTGTCCCCCTGCCTTTACTTCTCCTGTTGTGTTGTCCCCCTGCCTGTACTTCTCCTGTTGTGTTGTCCCCCTGCCTTTACTTCTCCTTTTGTGTTGTCCCCCTGCCTGTACTTCTCCTGTTGTGTTGTTCTGCTTTTACTTCCTCTGTTGTGTTGTCTCCCTGCCTGTACTTCTGTTGTGTTGTCCCCCTGCCTGTACTTCTGTTTTGTTGTCTCCCTGCCTGTACTTGTGTTGTGTTGTCCCCTTGCCTGTACTTCTGTTTTGTTGTCTCCCTGCCTGTACTTCTGTTGTGTTGTTCCCCTGCCTGTACTTCTGTTTTGTTGTCTCCCTGTCTGTACTTCTGTTTTATGGTCCCCCTGCCTGTACTTCTGTTGTGTTGTCCTCATGCCTTTACTTCTCCTGTTGTGTTGTCCTCTTGCCTGTACTTCTCCTGTTGTGTTGTCCCCCTGCCTGTACTTCTCCTGTTGTGTTGTCCCCCTGCCTTTACTTCTCCCGTTGTGTTGTCCCCTGCCTTTACTTCCCCTGTTGTGTTGTCCCCCTGCCTGTACTTCCCCTGTTGTGTTGTCCCCCTGCCTGTATATCTGTTGTGTTGTCCCCCTGCCTGTACTTCTGTTTTGTTGTCCCCCTGCCTGTACTTCTGTTGTGTTGTCCCCCTGCCTTTACTTCTCCTGTTGTGTTGTCCCCCTGCCTGTACTTCTGTTGTGTTGTCCTCATGCCTTTACTTCTCCTGTTGTGTTGCCCTTTCTGTATAAACCTTTACTTTTGGTGTGCTGCCCTTAGATTAACTTTTCCTGTTGTTTTGCACTTGCACCTTTATTTGTCCTTGTGTATTGCCCTCATACCCTCTCTTGTTTGTGTTGTAATTACCCACTCCCTTTCTTTTATTCATGGCCAGTATAAAGGGGATGCACCCAATATGAACTGTATGAGATAGGTCCTCTAAGGGCCATAAAAATGTTTTGTTTGATCAAGCATGGGATTTATAGTGAGGAGAATGGTTGTTATTTTACAGTCTTTATGAGAATGATTTTATTTACTACAGGTTCTATTTTAGATTTTGTGTATTGTTAGATTACACATTGGGTCAGGACTGTTTTTATCTGTATTATCAGATGTCTGTATCAGACACTTTCTGTTGTCAGCTAGAGCAAGACCTCCTGTGATAACTGGGGAGCTAATGTTTGTTAAAAAACGTGGATTAAATTTAGTAATCTAGGAATGAATCACATTGATTTAAGTTAGTGATGTTTTGGTCAGTGTTGAGTATAATCTTAAGACTTGTCTTGAGTTATTAGAATATGTGTGGTGTGCTGTAGTGTACAATCTGCTTTTCAACTGAAA